CCACCACGGCCGTCTTTGCCACCTCCGCAGCCTGCTGCTGTGGACTCTGGAGCTGAGACTACTGGAGCCGGGCCTGGGGGTGGTGAGTCTGGGGGTGCCCGCTCTCCTCGTCTGGCTACCCCCCCCCGGGTTCCCACCTCTGCCGTCTTCGCCGCCTCTGCAGCCTGCTGCTGTGGACACTGGAGCAGAGACTGAGGGTACTGGGACTGAGGGTACTGAGCCTGGGGGTGCTGGGACTGAGGGTGCTGGGACTGAGGATACTGAGACTGAGGGTGCTGGGACTGAGGGTACTGAGCCTGAGGGTACTGGGACTGAGGGCACTGAGCCTGAGGGTGCTGGGACTGAGAGTGTTGAGACCGAGGGTCCTGACTCTGGGGGTGCTGCGAGTTCGGGTGCTGACTCTGGGGGTGCTGCGAGTCCTTCTGGTGTTGGTGTCGTTGGAGCTCCTACCGGAGGACCTGGAGGTACTGGAGGTGGAGGTACTGGAGGTGCTGCTGGTGCTGGAGGACCTGGAGCTACTGGTGCTGGAGGTACTGGAGCTGTTGCTCCTACTGCTGGTACTGCTGGTGCTGGAGGTGCTAGAGGTACTGGAGCTGCTGGTGCTGGAGGTGCTGGAGGTGCTACTGGTGCTGGACGTCGTGGAGCTGCTTGTGCTGGAGGTGCTGGAGGTGCTAGAGCTGCTGGGGCTGGAGGTGCTGGAGGTCCTGGTGGAGCTACTTGTGCTCTTCGCCACCTTCTCAGTCTTCAGCCAGGTGCTACTGGCTTCCCTGTGGCAGGTACTACTCCTCCGTTGCTGTGTCAACCGACGGACCAGTCACAGCCACCGCTGCTACCACACTCCCCACTGCCTGCTCCTGCTCCTTACACTGCGGTGTCAGAGTCCCTGACTGAGCGTCGAGAGCCTGAGACTCGTGCTTCCACCCCTGAGCGTCGAGAGCTTGAGTCTAGCTTTGACCTTGAGCCTGAGCCTAGAGCTGCTGTCCGTGCTCGTGTTCCTCGTGTTCGTCGTCCGCGTGCTCCGGCTGTCCCCGGCACTCACGATATGACACTCCGTCCTTCCTCTGTTCCTCAGCGTGTTGTCCTACCGTTACCTCCTGCGTCCTCTCTGCCTGACGTTGCTGACCTTTCGTCTGACCTTGCTCGTGCGTCCAGTCCGACTGTTACTCGCCTTCTTGCTACGGTTGTGACGGACCCTACGTTCTCGTCTCCTGCTGCGTCTGCCCTATTAGCTGAGCTCGTTGACTTTGCTGTTGTGTACCGCCTAGACTACCTTGCGAGTCTTGTCTCTGACCCTATCCCTGCCTGTCCTCCGTCCGTCGGGGGTGAGACTGCCCTTGGCTGTACTGCCCTTGGCTGTGACGTTCTTGAGGACAGACAGGAGGAGCTGGAGTGCCTTGCGACCGCTTCACCCCATCACGCGACCATGTTGCTTGCCCCTGAGGGAGACCCAGATGCACTTGACATCCCCACCCCGCGCTCCTACAGGGAGGCGATTTTGGGTGAGTACTCCTCTCAGTGGCAGACAGCCATGGACGCAGAGATGGCTTCCTGGAAGTCCACAGGCACCTACGTCGACAAGGTTCCCCCACCTGGGGCGAACATCGTCAGTGGCATGTGGATTTTCAGGGTGAAGCGGCCGCCGGGTTCTCCGCCTGCCTTCAAGGCACGTTACGTTGCTCGAGGCTTCAGTCAGCGTGAGGGGGTCGACTTCTTTCAGACCTTCTCCCCCACCCCGAAGATGACCACTCTTCGGGTGTTGCTACACGTTGCAGCTCAGCGTGACTACGAGCTGCACTCCCTCAACTTCTCAACAGCTTTCTTGCAGGGTAGCCTTCACGAGGCCATCTGGTTGCGCCGTCCACAGGGCTTCACTGGGTCGTTTCCTGAGGGTACCCAGTGGAGCCTACGGCGACCAGTGTATGGCCTGCGTCAGGCGCCCTGCGAGTGGTACGACACACTGAGGACGACACTTGCGGCTCTTGGGTTTGCTCCTTCGACTGCTGACCCGTCGCTGTTTCTACGCACCGACACTACTCTGCCGCCGTTCTACATCCTCGTGTACGTCGACGACTTGGTTTTTGCTACTGCTGACACTGAGGCACTGGCCCTAGTGAAGGCGGAGCTGCAGGAGAGACACACCTGCACTGACCTGGGTGAGCTGCGGAGCTATCTTGGCTTGCAGATCACCCGGGACAGACCACGGCGCACCATCACCCTCACTCAGTCACACATGGTGCACCAGGTCCTTCAGCGCTTCCGCTTCACGTGGTCCTCGCCACAGCCCACTCCTCTGTCTACTGGCCACTCGCTCTCAGCTCCACCTTCGGACGAGTCCGTAGAGCCGAGTGGTCCGTACCCAGAGCTTGTGGGTTGCCTCATGTACCTGATGACGTGCACACGACCTGGCCTCACGTACCCTCTCAGCCTCCTGGCTCGCTACGTGGCACCCGGTAGACACCGAAAGGTGCACTTTGATGCTGCGAAGAGGGTATTGCGTTACTTGTGCAGCACATCGGGCATGGGGCTCGTGCTTGGAGGACGGGGTTCGGTGGTCCTCACAGGACACTCTGACGCTTCTTGGGCCGACGACCAGACGACTAAGCGTTCGTCACAGGGTTACACCTTCAGTCTTGGCTCTGGTTCTGTCTCGTGGAGGTCCACTCGTTCTTCTTCTGTGCTTGGTTCCAGCTGTGAGGCCGAGATCTACGCTGGGGCCATGGCTCCACAGGAGCTACGCTGGCTGACCTACCTGCTGACCGACTTGGGGGAGCGGCCTCGTTCTCCTCCAGTTGTGTACGTCGACAACAAGGCAATGCTTGCCTTGTGTCGCGAGCAGAGACTGGAGCACATAACGAAGCACATTGCTCTTCGCTAGTTCCTTGCGCGTGAGCTGCAGCAGCGTGGTCAGCTGCGCCTTGCTTACGTGGCCTCTCGGGCCAACACTGCAGATGTCTTCACCAAGGCCCTTGGGTCTAGTGATCATCACCGTTTCTGCACTGCTCTTGGGCTTGTGCCCACTCTGCCTCACCTGCTGGTTTCTTGACTTGCTCTTGTTGTACACTGCTATATATCTTATACCTGCATGTTTTCTCTTGCTAGGTTGTGATCAGTGTACTGCCTTGCTATTATATACCTCTGCATGTGAACTGGCCTTGTGGCCACTTGCTTGTGCTCAGAATGCGTGGTGACCTTGTGATCCACCCTGAGTTGTGTTTTCTTCTGCAGACTGGTCTTGTGACCGCTTGTTGTGTTTGCTATCCCCTACTTTGCCTATGGGGGTGTGTCAAATTACAATTGTATCTCTAGGCTATAGTAGGATCACTCCTTAGTGAGTACAACACTTTAGGGTTAGGTTTCCCCTACTTGTACTCATCTCTTGCCTAGTTCACTCATTCATTCCTAGTTCTATTCTTGACACCAGGCTGGCAGGCCTGTCAGCCGCGCTTTATGCACATGGCCTGAATAGCTTTGCAATGCAATGGAGGTACTCTAGCTCTTGGTTTAGAATTTATGAAATACCCCTACTACGGTATGTAGTGATGCACACATGGTCAAGTCAAATGAGACAGCAACAGAACTGAATAGCAGGTTACATTACATGGGCAACAGCATTCCCAAAACATGATAAGAGTTTGTCTTTATAGAAATATGGTACTACAAAACATGAAGTCACAATTCGAACCATACTCCATCACCATCACCACCATATTGCTTGAGATAAATGAGGCGCATGCTTGCAGCTAGTCAAAATCATGACCTCAAACAAGTGATGCTATTGATGGTAACTGGGAATGCCATGGCAACAAATGAGGTGGGACCTGCAGTGACACAAGAATGGAGGTACTACCGGTACTGGACTACCATGTGTTGGTTGGTTGTACTGACGCTGGTGCAAGTGCATCACATGTGAGGAGTGCTCCTCTGTGTGCAGCTGCGTGTGCATGTGCAGCGCAAGTGCGTGGGCGAGTGTGTGTCCATGTGCATGTGCACTGTATGCATGCGAATCCATGCGTGCTTGAGGAATGGAGGTGGTTGGATGGAAGGTGGATGGAGGGGCGGGCGGGAGGGGAGGGTGCAGGACTGTGGAGGAGTAGTATGGGTGCAGGTCTGCATAAAGACGGGGTGCTGACCTGTGCTTCTGCGGCATGAATGGGGGAGCTTGGCGTGAATGAGTTGGAATATGTGTGATTGAGCAGACTTGGCATGAGGGTGTCAAGACATGTGGATAAGGTAAGTGGAGAGGAAGAGAGAATGTTTGCTGGAGTAGCCGAGAACAAGGGATGGGTGGATTGCGTGTGTGTGTCGGCGAACGTGCGTAAGTGTATGAGAAATAGACAGGAAAAGGCGAGTATGACACGAAGAGAGAGAGAGCAAGAGAGAGTGAGAGAGAGGGGGAGAGCGCGAGCACGACGGAGAGGAGCTATGAGAGTGATGTCTGAATTCCCGTACAGGCAGATAGGCAACAGCTGGGAGCAGGTGGCAGCAGCAGCAGCACCTGCACCCTCCGTTCTTAGCACCTCTGGCACTCCTGATCCATCGCCTCATGGCTGGCTGCTCCGCTCCACTGACCCCTCCTCCATGGCTTGTCCGGCACTTCACAACGTGCAGGAACAGACGAGCGTCAAGAGCTTGGATAAGCTTGGAAACACCGTTGAAGGAGGGTGTCTGCATGCCACAATGGCTCCTCCACAGCAGCTTCATTGCCCATACAGTGCCAACGTGCACGTGAGCATGAGCAAAAGCATGGGCATGGGTATGACCCAGCAGAGAGTCCCACCCACTCTCAGTAACGATTTCGGACGTCCCAGAAGTGCTAGTCCCGTTACAACATTGCTGCATTGCCATGAGGACCACAGCCCCCATCAGCACCTCCAGTGGCACCACCTCTGTTATTCTCAACACCACCGCTTCCTACCGGCAGCACCATCACCATCACCACCATCAGCATCACCATCATCACCACCACAGCCATTACCCCGCGATGACAACAGTCATCGCTATCACCTCCCCCCCTTCTTGCCTCGTGTCCTTGACTCCTTGCGGCTAGACGCACGTGCTTGAGAGCCGCCAGCAGCAACAGCAGTAGCACTCCCACCGCCAGCACTCCCAGCACCAGCCCCAACCCCACCACTTCCGCCAGAACCACCAGCAGTGGCACTTCCACCCGCACCCCCATTAACAGCTGCCACAACACGCTTTCCAAGGCCACCACTCGCACCACCAGACAGAGAAACCCCATCAGCAGGAGAAGTCTTAGCAGCAGCACTGGCAGTGGCAGCAGCACAGGCAGCAGGCAGGTTGGCTGCAGCAACTGCGTCAGCAGCATGCGCACCATTCGTAACTGCACTGCCATTGGTAACTGCATATGAGCCCACAGCTGCACTGGCAGCATCAGCATCAGCACCAGGAGCAGCAGCAGCACCAGCAGCAGCAGCAGCAACAGTAGCAAGTGTTCCACGTACCGTCCCTTCTCCCTCTACAGAGTTCGCACCCGGCTGCAATTCCGTACCCCACATGTCCTTGCCAGTGCTGCTGGTGGTACCATTAACTCCATTCTCCCTGCTGCTGACACTGCTGCAGGCAGCAGATAAATCAACGCTGCCGATATTGCTGCTGACATCTGCGCCGGCGCTGCTGGTGATGTCACTGGTGCCCGTGTGGTTAGCAGAGGAAGTCATCGCAGGGGAGGGAGCGCGGTTGAGCTGGGACCAGAGGCGGTCTAGGAACGCAGTGCCGGCGGCGGGTGGGGCAGCGGGAGAGGACATGCTGTGGTGCAAGATGGTGGTAGCCGGGGACGAAACGGCTGCATCCCAGCCTGTGAGTCAGAGGGGAGGAAGGGACAGCGCAGATACAGTAACGGGTATTAGCGTGGACGAGAGCACAGCAGAATAGTAACTGGCGGCAGATACAGAGAATGGTGTCAGCAGGGAAAAAACGAGGAGAGAAGAAAAGAGAGGAGAAAAAATGAACCCATTGGGGGGATGGATGGAATCATCGCAATATGGAGCGACGGAGTAGGCTGGGAAAGTGAGGAGCATTTGCCAGGAGTACGGAAGAGTCGAAGCAGAAGAGAAGAAGAGAAGATAGAGTTGGGGCGAGAGGGCAAGAGGGGCGTACGGTTGTTCATGAGGCGCAGGGCATGCAGCAGAGCAGCCCTCAGACGAGCATCGGGATCAGATTGTGAGGCGTGAACCTGCAGTGACACCTCTGCTTGCTGCTGCTGCTGCTGCTCGTGACTCATTGCCTGCTGTACTGCTTGTGTGCGCTGCTCATGTGCATGCTTCTCACTAGGGGGACTGGGACCTGCACGCTGCACTGCTGCAGCAGCAGAAGAAACAGAGGGGATGGTGGCAGCGTTGGTGTTGACGGGATGGGAGGTGGAATGGGGAGCGGCAGGAGGAGGAGCGTTAGCAGGAGTGCTTTTCCCTACCAACGGAACCACCATGCTTCCTATCACGACCACCCTAGCTTTGGCGCTAGACGCAACATCGGCCACAGAAGCAGCACCGTTCACAGCAGCAGCAGCAGAGGTGGTGGGAGGAGGGTCAAGCTGTAGCAGCTGCCTCAGGGATCCCTCTACAGCCGTTTTCCTGCTCGCCTCTGTTGCTGCTGCTGTTGCTACTGCAACGGGTGCCTCTGGCGCTGCTGCTACTGCTACTGGTGCTGGTGCTACTGCTACTGGTGCTGCTGCTACTGCTACTGGTGCTGGTGCTACTGCTACTGGTGCTGCTGCTACTGCTACTGGTGCTGCTGCTACTGCTATTGGTGCTGCTGCTACTGCTACTGCTGCTACTGCTGCTGCAGCTACTGGTGCAACTGCTGTTGCTACAGGTGCTGATACTGCTGCGGCAACAAGTGGTGCTATTGGTGCTGCTACTGCTGTTGCCACACCTGGTACTGCTGCTGCTGCCTCTGCTGTTGATTCTGCACTTGCTGCTGCTGCTGCCACTGGTGCAGCTGCCACTACTGCTCTTCCCCCCGAGCCCCTCAACCCTTCCACAGCTTCAGCAGCACTAGCCTCAGCCACTACACCACCAGCCCTATTCCCAGACCCAACCTGGGACCCACCCTGCTGCTCATGCTTCCCAGATTTCGCATCTCTCTCCTTTCCACTGCCCGAGCCCCCTCTTTCCCTTCTCCCATCGCCTTGCCCCCGTCCTGACTGTCCTAACTCAGTCCTGGACGCAGGAGCAGGGGCAGGGGCAAGGGCAGAGGCAGGAGCAGGGGCAGAGGCAGGAGCAGGGGTAGGAGCCGAAATGCCCCTGGACACACAGCTCTGCTGGGTCTCTCCCCCACTTACCTCCGCCTCCCTCCCTCGCAGCGCCCCTCTAGCAGCAGCGGCGTTCTCAAGAGCAGCAGCAGCACTGCCAGCAGCCGCGCTTGTGTCTAGCGCCATCCCAACATAAGGCCCCACGGCTTCTCTCTTCCCACTCCGCTGCTGCCGCACCCTGCCCTGCTCCCCCCGCTCGCCGCCCCCTCCTTGCCCCCCCTTGCCACGACCCCTCCTGCCTCCCGCTCCCCCCGCCCTTGCAGCAGCTGAACCTGAACCCGTACCCGTACCCGTGCCTGTCACTCCTCCTGCTGCACCCGTCCCTGCAGCTGCCCCCCTGGCGTTTGACAAGTCAAGATTACTGCTACCTGGGCCCGTGGCTCCTCCACCAGCAGAGGCGGAGCCTCCTTCGGAACGGTCCGACGTGGCACGAGCAGCAGCACGAGTCCCTGCCATGTCAAGACTCCCTGCTTCTGCTCCCTCTCTCCTTGCCCCCCCTGTGTGCTGCTCACGCTCCTTGCTTTTCACGACCACTGCACTGTCTGTCGCGGACATGGGTGCTGGGTGCACTCTAGCGCCCTTGGGAGAATCGAGAGACTCGGATGATAGCCCATCAGAACTGCTGTCGCCCCCTGCTTGCTGCTGCTGCTGCTGCTGCTGCTGCCTCTGCTGCTGCTGCTGCTGTCGCACTTGCTGCTGCAGTTGCTGGGGCTCCTTCTTTGCCTCGTCTTCCTCCTCCTCTCCCTCCTCGTCCGCTCTCCCCTCCTCTTCCCCGACCTCTTCCTCCTCCTCATCCTCTTCCTCGTCCTCTTCCTCTTCCTCTTCCCTTTCCTCCTCATCCTCCTCCACCTCCTCCTCCTCCGCTTCTTCCTCTTCTTCCTCCTCCTCTTCCTCCTCTTTCTCCGAGTCGTCACCTTTCCTCCAGGTCCCAACACTGCCCGTCAACCCCACACCACGGTCACCTCTGGAACCCTGCTGACCCGCTTTGTCTGCCGCCTTGCCTCCTCCCTTCTGCCTCTGCCGTTTCTTCCGTCTGCGCTGCTGCAGGAGCGCCCGCCTGCCAGTGGACGGGGAAAGAAGGGGACGGACAGCAAGCAGAAGCGCAGGACTGTCAATACGTGGTGAAGCGAAGGGCGGCTGATGCCTGTCCTGTTGCCCCCAATATGCAGAGGCACATGGCGTCGAGCTGTGCCGTACTACCATCGACACCACAAGTGCTTGACGGGACCAAACGAACGGAGGGAACGTGGGGAAGGGGGGGGGATGAGGGAATTGACAAACGCAAGGGGGGGGCGCGATGGGAGAGGAGAGGCAGAGGAGAAGAGCAACCCGAACTAGCATAAGGGAGAGTTACTAGAGACGGAGACCACAAGACTGACTGATTGGCGGGGCAAGAGCAGGCGAGGGAGGGCCTTACTTGTGCATGGCAGCTGCTTCCTCTTCCACCAGCAGGTGCTGCTTTTGAGAATTCTCAAAAGAGAATTCTCAAAAGCGACCACAGGAGTGACGGACCGGCAAGAGCAGGCGAGGGAGGGGCTTACTTGTGCATGGCAGCTGCTTCCTCCTCCACCAGCAGGTGCTGCTGCTTCAGTGCTGCTGCCTCTCGCGCTGCCATGTATGCATCCACCTGGACAGCGCGGAGGGGAGAGGGAGACAGAGAGAAAGAAAGAGCAGTGAGCGTGGACCCCTAACAGCATCGGTTATCAAACACTGGCATAGTTTCCTGCAGGAGCATATGACGATTCTGGTGCTAACGACAGGGTTTTTGTATAAAAAAGGATATCAATATCACTACTGAAAATAACGGACTCCGGGAAGGGGAAGTGACAGGAAGGAAGATAGTAGGTGGAAAGCAGAAGGGCCGGGGGGGAGGAGGGCAAGTGAGAAAGGTTTGGGAAAAGCCAAGCGGCGAACGCAGAAAGAAATGCTTCACGGCATGTGACCAGTCATGCATGCTTACAAGCTTCTGTTCGAGCAGGAACGCGAGAGCAGCCACGAGGTCCTTATCATGCAGACGCATCACTTTGATCCTCCCGCTGCTGCCACCGCCTGCGCCACCAACCCCACCACCACCACCACCGCTGCTGCTGCTGGGCGTGGCAGTGGGCTGGAAGACAAAGCGGTGCACGGCAGGGGACGTGCCCCCGTGCAGGAAAGTGTTCTCACTGGCCGCATCCAGCATGGCGAAGAGGTCCTCCTCTGATAGCAGCTGCTTGTTCAACACCACCGCCTGGGAGGGTGGGGAAGGGAAGAGGGGATGGGAGGGAAAGCAGAGAAGTTTTTTGAGTCGTCTCAGCCCACAGCTGGCCGCGTCCAGCATGGCGAAGAGGACCTCCTCTGACAGCAGCTGCTTGTTCAACACCACCGCCTGGGAGAAATGGGGAAAGGGAGGGAAAGGGGGAGAGGAGAGGAAGGGGGCGGTGTGCAGGCAGAGAGGGTGAGAGACGAAGAGGAAGCTTGGAGGAGTGGGAGTCGGGAATCCAGGTTGGCACATTTGCTGGCCTCTGCCCGGGATTGCAGGAAGTTAAACGGGGAGAGGAGGAGAGAGCATGGCTTATGAATGTGTGGAATGGGTACGCCGGGGTTGGGAGGAGATGGGATGGAAAGAGCACATGGGTGGGTGCATGCAGATCGCTGAAACGCAGCATGTGTGCACGTATCGTAAGGATTCAGATCTCAGCAGCAGCACAGGCGCCAGGCCAGTGCAAGATTATGGGGTGTGCGTGTGTGCTGGAGAGAAGGAGAGAGGCGTACGACGAGGTCTGGGCCGAGCTTGAGGTACGGTGGGAGCGGTGGTGCGATGGGCGAGACAAAGGGGAAGCGATGGTTGTCCACAAGAGAGGACAGCCGGTCCACCAGCTGAATGCCCTGTGCGCCGTAGAAACAATAACAAAAGACCGGGGGTAAGGAGGGGAAGAGAGAGGGGCGGGATGGCGTGGGGGGGCAGGGAAAGCAAAAGAACAGTCAGGAAGGCACAAGGTAGAATCCAAAGGAAAAATTTACGAGCAGCGCATGCAAAACGGCAAGGCAGCAGGGGCATAGCATGAGAGAACAGAAGATGCATATGGTGTGAAGAAGAGAGTAACAGCAAGGACGCACCTCTACCGAGAGGGCCTGAAGCGATATGTGGTCGAGAACTGCTGGCATTCCCAGCTGCAAGAGCAAAGATAGTGTACAGGAGAGAAGAAACATGTTGACACGAGAACTAGGTGTGTGTGGACGATGGTGTGCAAGGGGAGCAAAAGGGCTCTGCAATCAAAGCGAAAAAAATACCAAGAGGGTTGAGTGGGACTGCAGGGTTGAGTGGGACTGGAGGGTTGAGTGGGACTGCTGTTACCTTGTTCAGGAAGAGAGCCAGGTCTCCTCGGATGCCCCTCAGGTCAACCTGCGCACACAACAACCAGTGCCATGTAACAGTAAGAAAGAAGGATGAAGAGAACGAACAAACGAAGGGAGAAAGAAGCAATAAAACACACAGACACGCACGCACGCGCACACACAACAGAAGCAAAACACCGAGCACGACTCAAGGGAGGGAGCAAGCGACTGTTGAGCACTTTCAGAAGCACGTAACCGTCAAGACGCACCTTCTCGGTGCGCAGCATCTTGCGGTGCACGCGGATGTGGCGGCGGTGGTTGAGCGGCGAGAAGAAGCGCAGGCTGCACTTGTCACACGCGTGCGACGCTGTGCCCAGATGGGGTGGCGGGGGGAAGTGCAGACCCGACCGAGCTTGCAGGTTGAGCGGCCAGCCTGACAGAACCAAGGGAAGGGTTGAGGGATGGAGGTAGAACAGTGGTTTGGCAAAGAACAGTGGTTTGTCAGCAAACAGCCGTCAGCAACGATAAGAGAGCGCGCAGTGGGAAGGAAGTGAGGAACAAATTCATGAAATCTGAAAACAAGGAGGAACTTCAAGAGGATGGCAAGGGTTGGAGAAAGAGGGACAACAGAGGGGTCTGTTGCATGAGACAACGAAGGAGAGAGACGTGGGGGGCCGGGATGACGAGAAAGGAGCGGTTGCACTCACTGGTCTTGGCAGCAGCAGCAGCTTGAAGCGCGACAACTGCTGCACGTGGAATCTGCCTGTCCACACGCCGATTATACACCCCAGCTCCCAACGCCGACGCTGATGCCGACTGACCAATCCCCGCATGCCCCGTGGGGTTGAGAGCAGAGGAGGAGGAGGCGGAAGCGGCGGAGGAGGGGGCATGGCGCACGAGGTCCGAGAGTGCCATGACTGAGTGCAGGTCCAGGTCGTCGTATGCGCCCAGCTCCATCAGCTCGTCCAGCCCTGATGCCCGCGCCGTTGCTGCTGCCACTGCTGATGCTGATGATAGTGCTGATGACGCTACTGCTCCTCGGGTTGCATAGGACGGTGTGCTGGTGGTGGTCGTGGTGGTGGTGGTGGTGGTGGTCGAGTAAGGGGAGTCGGAAGTGCTGCTGGTGGTGGTGGTTGTTGGCGCGGGAATGGGGATGGGAAACGTTTTGCTAGTGCTAGGCCGCCCGGTTACCTTCATCCCACCGTTTGGTCTTAGATTGAGCGACGAGCCAGAGGAGGAGAATGTAGCATTGCCGTAGGCAGAAACAGGTCGAGAACCAGCGGCACCAGACACACACTCCACCACTGATTCACCTTCACCTTCTCCTTCACCAGGACCATCACCACCACCACCACCACCACCACCACTACCTTGCGTTCCTGAGCTTTCCCGTTCAACCGGCCTGTCCAACTCCTCTTTCTCTCCCGACCCCTGTGCCTCTGCAGATTCCCCCCTGTCCCCTGCCGATCCCTCTCTATCCGAAGCAAAGGCTACCTCCCGCGCCATCAGCTCCACATCGCCCCAGCGGTCCCCCAGCCGAGACTCCACCAACGATCCTCCGCCATTCGCCCCCCCGCCTGCATCCGCCTGTTCATCGGCACTCCCCGCGCCAGACTGCTGCGGCTTCGCCAAGCTCTCCCCGTTGCTGAACGCCCACGAGCGCAGATCTTCTTTGAATTCAGCATCCCCCGTCGCCCGTTCCTGGTACTTCCACGGCCGTCTTCTGCGCATCCCGCCCTCCGACCCATCTCCCTCATGCGCTTCCGCACCTTCCCCATCTCCAGCCCCAGCCCCCCGACCATCGCTGCCAAGCAGATCACTAATATTCCCATTACCGCCCGACTGGTCTAACTCCGGCACTCTTCTATCAGAGCCTTGACTGACAGCCGCCCTTCCCCACCAGCCACCTGCTGCCGCTGCTGCTGCGGCTGATGCTCTCTCGCGCACCCCGCTCGTGGGACCAGTGGATCCCAGGAGCGGCACGCGTGACTCCGCTTCCGAGTCCCACCGGCTGCCGTCGTCCTCGCGAAGAACGACCATTTCTTGACCTTCCTCGGCTCCCTCTCCCGAACCCCTAAACCTCGAGATCTCCCTAATGCTTTCCCTGTTGCAGCTGTTCTCGCTGGCCGCTGCGATCTCTTCCCGCGTGTCGTTGTCTTGCGCGGACGGTGCGGAGGGCGCGGAGGGTGCGGCAGGTGCGGATGCTACAGTTGCCCAGCTATCGTCGTCGCCTTCCTCCTCCCACCACCTGCGGTTCCACTCGTCCGATGTACCGCCCATGACACTGTATGACTACCCTTCGTCCCGGATCCGACCAGTGGCACAAAAACTCGGGCCTAATCACTGGGTTGGCCTGTAGGATGCACAAAGGGGTGAAGCAAAAACAGTCAATACGCAGACTCTGTGACATTCGCATGAAATAGGAGGCAACACAATCAAGTTACGTGTGCTGAATCTCTGAGAAGGGGTCAGAGAGGCCCGTCAAGATTACAAACACGCAAGGATCAGGAGAAAAGAAAACACGATAGTGAATTAGAATGCTTCATGGGGTTTTGTGCAGTGATACAAGCGTTAAGAAAATGACTTGGTCAGAAGGCCAGCTTCCCCCCAAGTTTAAGAACTTGATGGTGGCAGCCTGGTTGTCAAGCCTTTCAACTGCTGACAACTATGGTCGAACTATGGTCAACGGCCATCACAACTTTTTATGGGAACGGGAAAGTCACCCGCGCGGAGGATTTGATTACTCGAAACTTACAAGAACAAGACGTGATGGCGATCGGTCGGGAAGCGTCTGTATTCTCCATAATGATAACCGCGCTTCGGATAATGACCGGATCCAGGATGACAGAGGAACAATAACTAGAAAAAGGAACCGAATCTCCGGAATAGGTACCTAGCCTGCTGGAGTTACTGAAGGTTGCGTCTCAACACTAAAATCACGATAATAAAGAAAAAGGCCTACCCAATCTAACCACCCAGAACTTCAATACGCAACCTCATCAACCCAGCAACCGATAGTGAACACAAGAAAGTAGGTGCGTCCTAAACGAACCTGGAAACGAGGAGCAGGTGCGTCCTAAATCTGGCTGAACCAGCTGAACTAGCTCCTGACCAAACGAGAATCAGCAAGCAAAACCGAAACGTGGTCGCAGCAAAGATCGATGGGCCTGGCCTGGAGAGAATCCCAAGGAGTGACATGAATGGGTGAATCAAGGGAAGGATGGATGGATGGTGGTGGTGATAGTTTTTGAAACCTTGATCATAAGGGAATGTCAACGAGCCGCTCTAGAACGCACAAAATCGTACCCGACCGCATGAACGTGAACTCGATTGGAGCGACCAAGTACATACAGGTTGCTCCTGTGTAGGTTGCTCATGTGTGCACTGTACAGTATTTCCGAATGTGCTGGTCCGCCTGACCAACCTGGTTGTAGAATGGGTGGGGGCTGGTTTGGAGGAGCCCAGGACACCTGGACCTCCGGAATGTCACCCAGCGGAGTGAAATCTTCGAGACACTTCCTCCCGATATAGGAACAGCCTCGAAGGTGACATGCGGACCCTCGACCACCGAAATCCAGGAAAAGTTTACTGCGTTTGTGGCAATTTCGCTACAATGGGAAATATCCTTGACTCTTCCAGAGACCTTCTTTTGTCAGCTCAAACTCAGAAGACTTAATCTGTCATTTTGACAGTTCCCGGGTAACTGCTACATTCATTCACATCCTCTTCCACACCAGAATATTGTCGAGGAAACTGGTGACGAGTATCGCCGTTCAGCGTCACAATTCATGCATGTCTCACCACCACACTTCACCTCATTGTGCCACCTCATACCTCTCATTTCAGTTCACTTCGTTTTCACCTTCTCTCCCTCTCATCTCCTTTCATTGCACTACTGCAGTGTGCGCTGCACTCAAGCATCCACACACGCCACGTGGAGCTGTCTTTGGCAGCCATATCCACTCCTCTCGCTTCGAAGCCAAGAACGGAGATCCTCCACCATGGCGGTCGCATCGCATTCGATCTCGCACATAGCTGGCCTAAGCGTGCCACCGTCAGTGCAATCCAAGCAACCACGACAGCCAGTGCGAGCCAGAGCGGGACCGATCCGTCCCTCCACTCGTGCCTCTGCCAAGTTAAACTCATCCCTTCTCCCGCTTCTCCTCAAGGCACCCGCTCTGCAGTCCTCCTCCCTCGCTGGCGCGCACTGCCGATCACGATCGCGCTCGCGCAAAGGAGTGTCTCCCCGCGCTCTGCCCATCGCAGCGGCAGCGGCGGCGACCGCGGTCGCGGAGACCAAGGAGCAGCTCGAAGCCAAAGCGGAGCGCTTCTGGAAATGGCTCGTGGACCAAGGGGTTGGCGACAAGGATTTGCCGGCTGCCGTCAAGCCGGTAGTTTTGACGGCGGCTGACGGCCAGCCGCGACTAGCGCTCGTGGCCGACCGGGACATCCGGTCGGGTGACGATTTGTTGCTGGTGCCGCTAAGCGCGTGTCTGACGCTGGACAAGGTTCTTAGGACCGACATTGGCGCCGTGTGCGGCGACGTCAGGTACAGCGGCGCGCGCGAACCGTCAATAGCAGCCGTATTTACCATCGCGTCGAACTTGAAACCATTTCAGAGCTTCTCCTTGTCGTATCTGCTCGAACTAGTTCAATCAAGTGCATTCAATGCAGCGGCTAACGAGCTCCACTAAGCGCCTTCGTGCAACCCATGAGACGTGCTCTGCGGCTCTGCCCGTGACGCTCACATGCTCAAAGCCCTCCATTTTCCGTCCTTCATTTTTTTCATGCCCCTTTTCCCCACATTGCTATCTCCTGCACTTCATTCCCTTCCCTTCCCTGCTGCTCCTTCCCGCCTCTCCACCTTCTCTCCGTCTCCCACCGCACCTTCCCCCCATCCTTGCTCCTTCTCCCCGGCGAGCAGGCCGTGGGTGGCGCTGGCTCTGTTCATTATCCGCGAGCGCGGCAACCCCACGTCCGAGTGTGTTTTGAGTCGACTCAGAACTCCGCCTTCTCTCCGTCTCCTTTTCCACCGCATCCCTCCCCCTCCCTCAACTCCTTGATCATTCTCCCCCCGGCGAGCAGGCCGTGGGTGGCGCTAGCGCTGTTCATCATCCGCGAGCGCGGCAACCCCACGTCCGAGTGGGCGCCGTACCTCGACACGCTCCCCACCTCGCTCAACTCGCCGCTCCTCTGGTACCGCTTCTACCCCGCTGCCCTGCCCTGTTCTGCCCTGTCCTACGCTCCTTGTCGTCTCGCCTCTGACTCGATCTCATAGCCACCCTGCATTCGCCTCTCTCTTTTCTCCCTCTCCCCGCTCCCCTCATCGCTTGTGTGTTCTCTCTGCCCATTCTCGCCTGCAGGACTGACGAGGAGCTCAAGATGCTGGAAGGTACCTTCGCCTCGCCCATTCTCGCCTCGCCCTTTCCCTCCCTCCAGCCAACCACCACATCCTAGCCACATGTCGCTATCGCATTTGCTTTTGCTTTTGCTTTTAAGATACAACTGGTGGCAGTCCTTTGCTTTCTCCCTCTCTCTCCCTTCTGGGTCGTCGTGACCATGCGTGCCGTTGCCACCTCCTCCTCCTGCACCTCTTTCTCTCCTCTGAATTCCTTTGCCTCTCCCGCCTTCCTCCTGCGTGCTCCTCACCCCATTTAACCCCGCCCCATGCAACCCCATCCCACCCCATTCACCCGCACCGCACTTGCTTCCCCTGCCATCCTCCTGTAACCCCCCCCCGGAATTCCTACTCCCCCGCCACTGACCTTGCAGTAGCAGTCACGCGGGCGGGCTAGTCCCTTTGGCACATCACCCACCCAACATTGGGGTGCAGTCATCCATAGCCCATTGCTCCCCATTTAACCCAACCCTGCGCTCCTCCCCTCACCCATCTCTCCCCTCGCCCGCACTCCCCCTTGCTCCATCCGCCGCTCTCCCCTGCGCCTCCCCCCCCCCCCCCCCCCCCCCCCCCCCCCCTCGCACTCCCCTCCGCACTCCCCGCCGCGCCGTCCCCCCCCTTGCCAGGCACGCAGGTGTTGGCGCTGCAGCAGCAGTACGCGGAGTACATCGCCTCGGAGCACCAAGCCGCGCTGGAAGCCATAGTGCTGCCCAACCCCGCTCTCTTCCCCGCGCCTGAGCGCTTCTCCCTCGCTGCCTTCACGTGGGCCTTCGCCCTTCTGCGCGCGCGCTCCTTCCCGCCCTTCTCCCGCGACGACGTCGCCCTCGTGCCGCTGCTCGACCTGGTGGGTCACCTGCCATTGCATTGCTCCTTCTCATGCCGTTGGGGGAAGGGAAGGGGTTGGGGGAAGGAGAAGGCGCTCCTTCCCGCCCTTCTCTCCCGCGACGACATGGCCCTCGTGCCGCTGCTCGACCTGGTGGGTCACCTGCTATTGCATTGCTCCTTCTCATGGCGTTGGGGGAAGGGAGGGGGTTGGGGGGAGGAGAAGGCGCTCCTTCCCGCCCTTCTCTCCCGCGACGACATGGCCCTCGTGCCGCTGCTCGACCTGGTGAGTCACCTGCTATTGCAACCCCTCATGGCGTTGGGGGAAGGGAGGGGGTTGGGGGGAGGAGAAGGCGCTCCTTCCCGCCCTTCTCTCCCGCGACGACATGGCCCTCGTGCCGCTGCTCGACCTGGTGAGTCACCTGCTATTGCAACCCCTCATGGCGTTGGGGGAAGGGAGGGGGTTGGGGGGAGGAGAAGGCGCTCCTTCCCGCCCTTCTCTCCCGCGACGACATGGCCCTCGTGCCGCTGCTCGACCTGGTGGGTCACCTGCTATTGCATTGCTCCTTCTCATGGCGTTGGGGGAAGGGAGGGGGTTGGGGGGAGGAGAAGGCGCTCCTTCCCGCCCTTCTCTCCCGCGACGACATGGCCCTCGTGCCGCTGCTCGACCTGGTGAGTCACCTGCTATTGCAACCCCTCATGGCGTTGGGGGAAGGGAGGGGGTTGGGGGGAGGAGAAGGCGCTCCTTCCCGCCCTTCTCTCCCGCGACGACATGGCCCTCGTGCCGCTGCTCGACCTGGTGGGTCACCTGCTATTGCATTGCTCCTTCTCATGGCGTTGGGGGAAGGGAGGGGGTTGGGGGGAGGAGAAGGCGCTCCTTCCCGCCCTTCTCTCCCGCGACGACATGGCCCTCGTGCCGCTGCTCGACCTGGTGAGTCACCTGCTATTGCAACCCCTCATGGCGTTGGGGGAAGGGAGGGGGTTGGGGGGAGGAGAAGGCGCTCCTTCCCGCCCTTCTCCCGCGACGATGTGGCGCTCGTGCCGCTGCTCGACCTGGTGAGCGGCAGCTTTGATTACACCCCCTTGTGGTGCACGGGGAAGGGGAAGGAAGTTGGGGGGGGGAGGTGAGGAGGAGGTGTGGGTGGTTGGATTAGAAGGGGGGAAGAGGTGGGAAGGAGGGGGTTTGAGGATGGGGAGGGGAGCAGAGGAGAGTAGGTGAGGGAACTAGACGGGAGAAGGTGAGGGTTCCGTCGGAGGTGTTTCACAGATTCACGGCACGGACTTTCCTCAGGGCAAGTGGCTGGTCAAGGGGTTCTTGTATGGACTCAACTCAAAAGTCACCTCTGTGCATGCCACTCCGCCCTCTCTCTCGCCCGCAGGTGTCGCACAGCACAGCACGGAGTCCCCCGAGGGCAAGTGGCAGTTTTGAGGGTTCTCAAAAGGGACACGACACTGTGCACACCTCTGTGCTTGCTCTCAACCCCCACAGGTGTCGCACGCACGGAGTCCCCCGAGGACAAGCGGTTGCTTTCGGGATTCTCAAAAGTGACACTGCGCATACCTCTCCGCTTGCTCTCGACCCCCACAGGTGTCCCACAGCACGGAGTCCCCCGAGGGCAAGTGGCAGGCGAGGGCGGTGGGCGGAGGGCTCTTCTCTGCCGGCAGGGACGTGGTGACAGGCCCTGCAGGGCGCTCGTACCACAAGGGACAGCTGGTGAGTGACGCCCTGCACACACACACACCCCACCACACCCCACACCCCCTCTCCGCTCCTTCCCCCTCATCAATACGGTGTGCTGAGACGCTTTCTGAGGTACCGCAAGAGCATTCAAGCCCCCTGCCTCTGCTCTGTTCAATGCCCTGTCGCTCCCCCCTGCCTGCCCCCCCACCCCCCGGCTTTGCCCCTCTTCCTCCCTCCAACTCATCACCCCTCGGCTTTCCATTCTGTCTGAACCAGACTACATGTCTTCAGGCTTCAGGCGCCGCAAGTAATCTCCCTCCCTCCCTCCCTGCAACTCATTCGCCCTTCTGGTTTCCACTCCCTCCGTTTGCCCTTGTGGATCAGATCACAGTGAACTTCGGCAAGGGCAAGTCCAACGCACAGCTAGCCATCGACCACGGTATCGTAGACCCCCCCACCATCACCCCCGCCGCCTCCCCCGCCTCCTCCTCCTCCTTGCAAGCCCCGCAGCAGGAGCAGCAGAAATCGGGCGCGCTGGGCGCAATCGTGAACACAGTTGCCAGCGGCGTGAACAACGTGACCAGCATGGTGTCCGTGGGGAAAGCCGTGGCCGCTGTCGAAGCAGCAAAGGTCGCCGCGAAAGCCGCAGCCGCCGCCGCCGCCACCGGCGCTGGCAACCGCGATGCGTTCTCGCTGACTCTAGAGATTGCAGAGTCCGACCGGTTTTTCGACGACAAGGCGGATGTAGCGGAGCAGAGCGGGCTGGAGGCGGTGGCGGATTTTGACATTGTGGCGGGGCAGGGCGTGCCTGATGAGATGGTGGCGTTCCTCAGGCTCGTTGCTCTTGGTGGGGCCGATGCCTTTCTGCTGGAGGTGAGACTGAAGGGGGGGTGCGATGGGGGCAGGCAGGTGTGAGTGGGCGAGCGTTTTGGGAAGGTTGGCCAGCGGTTTGGTGGGGTTGTTGGGGTTTGAGTGAGGAATGGTGTGCCCGGGCTGTTGAGCCCAGTGCGGCGGATATAGCGGAGCAGAGTGGGCTGGAGGCGGTGGCGGATTTTGACATTGTGGCGGGGCAGGGCGTCCCTGATGAGATGGTGGCGTTCCTCAGGCTCGTTGCTCTGGGCGGGGCCGATGCCTTCCTGCTGGAGGTGGGTTTGAAGGGGGAGAGGAGGGCGGGGGAGAGGAGGAGGGGGAGGGGAGGTGGGAGGTTTGAGCGGGGCAGGGCGTGCCTGACGAGATGGTCGCGTTCCTCCGCCTTGTAGCCCTGGGCGGGGCTGATGCCTTCCTGCTGGAGGTGAGTTTGGGGGGAGGGGAGGCAGGGAAAGGGAGGAGGAGGGCAGGTGCTGGGGAGGGGAGGCGGGGGTGGTTTGGCAGGGTTGTTGGGGTTTGAGCGGGGCAGGGCGTGCCCGATGAGATGGTGGCGTTTCTCCACCTTGTAGCGCTGGGTGGGGCGGATGCTTTTCTGCTGGAGGTGAGACTGGGAGGGGGGGAGGGGGGGGGGAGGAGGGGGGGAGGCAAGGAGGAGCGGAGGCAGAGGGTACTGTGTTGACAACGTGGTGTTTGGCAGGTTTCCTGGATTGTACAATAGGTGGACAAAACCGGTGTACAGGGAGAATGGAGAATGTATACAAGTAGAAGGTATACAGAGGGCTGGCATTTTACTGGATGGATGGTACTAGACTAGAAAGACATTCATCTCGAGCATGCCTTCCTTAGATTTACCTTCCTTAGATTTACCTTCCTTAGCTCGACCATACATCTCTCCCTCTCGCCTTCACCTTTCCTGCATGATCGCCCTTTCCCCTATTCTCCCACGGTACGGCATACAGGCGTTGTTCCGCAACAGTGTGTGGGATCACCTGCTGAACCCTGTGAGCCAGGAGAACGAGGAAGGAAAAGTTCACGGGCTGGGGACAAAGTATTGGCCTCCCATCCCCGCTCTCCCATTTCCTCCCGCGCCTTCCACATCACGGCGTGCAGGCGTTGTTCCGCAACAGTGTGTGGGATCACCTGCTGAACCCTGTGAGCCGTGAGAACGAGGAGGCGGTGTGCGTGGGCATCGTGGACTCTTGCGCTGCTGCGCTCGCTGCCTACCCCACCACATACGAAGAGGTGAGTGAGTGAGCGGCACATAGAGCAGGCGAGAGGCGCATACTAAAACAAGTGTTTTGAGACGTCTGAAAACACGTGTTTTACCACATACGAAGAGGTGAGTGAGTGAGCGGCACATAGAGCAGGTGAGGGAGAGGCGCATGTGGCCAGGGCGGAGAGCATCCACTCACTCATATATGCAGGTTGAGTTGCTGTGCTGTGCCCCAGCAGTTGCACGCACGGTGGTTACCACGCTCTTCTGCCCAGTGCCTTTTCTTCAAAGGAGCAGACCGATGCTGCTGGCACTGTTGCGCTTGCTTTGAGGCGTCACAAGAACTTCATCTTTCCTCTTTTTTTTTTTTTCCCCCATTCCCCCCTTCTCTTCTGTCCCTTCCTTCCCTCCTCTCCATCCGATCCCTCCTTCCCTGCTTCGCCTGTCCTTTCCTCCCTAACTCCTTCCCAGGACGTGGCTCTACTCCCCACGCTAGCAGAGGGCAGCAAGGAGCAGGTGGCAGTGGTGGTGCGCATGGGGGAGAAGGCGGCTCTCGGCGAGCTGCAGTCATGGGCCGTGCGGCGCATGCGAGCCCTCGACTACCGGCTCTACTACGCGGAGCGCCCCTAGTCCGGCCTGGGCCTTTTCCCCTTCCCCTCCTTCCCTCCTCTCCCTCCCATCCCTCCCTCCCCTCTCTTCCCTGCTTTGCCCCCCCTGTCTTCCTATCTCCCCTTCAGGACGTGGCGCTGCTGCCCACGCTAGCGCCAGGCAGCAAGGAGCAGGTGGCAGTGGTGGTACGCATGGGGGAGAAGGCGGCTCTCGGCGAGCTGCAGTCGTGGGCCGTGCGGCGCATGCGAGCCCTCGACTCCCTGCTCTACTACGCGGAGCGCCGCCTCTCCGACCTGGGCCTGCTGGACGACACCGGCAACATGACGCCCTGGGTGGGCGCCGAGTAAGCTTTTTGAGCCGATGCCGACTCAAACCTCGCCGCCTTTCCGACCTGGGTGGGCTTGCTGGATGGCACTGGCAACATTACTTTTCTGGGTGGGCGTCGAGTGAGTGAGAGCGCGTGTGATGTGACATGAGACGGGCTTTGAGGCGCTCCAAAACTCGTCCCTTCTCTTGCTGGGTGGGGGTCCTGTGAGCGTGGCCTGGCTTGCACCACATGGGCGAGAGGGAGGGAGGGAGAATGGGAGGGAGGGGGTTCTGTGTCCCAGCGGTAAGTGGGAATTGGGAAGGAGCGGGAGCTGGGAAGGAGGCGGTGAAGAAGGTGGAATGCAATGGCAGACCTGGGATTGGGTGGGAGAACCTAGGAGTTGACTCAACTGGGGCTCCTTTTAGGTTGGGTGTGGGAGCTTGGGGATTGAGCCACTGCAACCTCCCTCCCAGCACGCAAACCCCTGTTTCAAGCGAAGCCCTGCTGTGCTGCACTAATATGTGCTGTGATGTTTTCTGTAGGATGGCACAAGTGAATGATTGCCATGTCGTATGATGCACCATGCTGGCAATGTGTTGTGCAATTTAGTTGGATATTATTTATTGTCAACAATGTTCTCTTAAAGTTGCGGTCTACATACCTAGAGGGACAGGCCCTGGTTTATCACTTGAAAACAGGGTAGCAGACTCTCCAGAAGAAACGAACGATCGAGGCGGAAGGAGGGAGCGGGGTGGGCGCACAACTTTCTGCTTGGTTGTTTGTGTTTGGCGCTGAAATTTCCGCCTTTCTGCGGATTTGTTCCCCCAAGAAAACCCAATCGCGAAATTGTTTCACATCGCCAACTTTGTGCGAACTCATCGCACAGGTGTTTGGGGGAAAACCACACTTCGCTCTCAAGTCATCGCGCACCAAAGGGTGTGCACCTAGATTACCCCCCAAAACCCCCTTTTAGTATGTAGACCGCAGCTTTAATTACGTACTTACGGTAATAATACCATTCCAACATGCTGGTCACGAATCTTTGTGTAGGGTATACAGCACTTCACGCAGGTAAACTCAGATGGATGCCACTTTCCAGCTGACTAAATACATCCTTTCGGTGTAACGTTAGCGCGTCAGGTAGTAAGGGACGATATCGCGCTCCGTGAGGCCCAGGCGCGAAAGTGTGACGCGTAACGCGTTGAACAAGTCAGGTCTAGGCGTATTTGACCCGAGACTGTAGGGGGGGTTTCCAGTGTTCTACATGTAAAAGGTATCATCTATGGATATTATGTTCCATCTTCCTCACCCTAGCAATCATTCATATTATCCAGCTGAATAATGCACCTCGTTTGCATTTCGTGCAGCTCCGCCAGCTTTACTCCAGATTATCTGTCCTTATTCAGTAGCAGAATACACGCCACGGTATGAACAAAAATGAATGGTTAATGGTTAAGTACATCAGTAGTTATTCCCTAGCCAGGCAGCAAGTGCCTTTATTAGTGGCACTTCACTGGAAGGCCACTGGACTAGGGGATCAGCAAGAGCACCTACGTATGGTCACTTCGGCTCCAGGCATCAAGCCATCAGGCTTGGCTGGTCACATCATCAGACAGCCCTGCAACACCAGCCATGGTGAAATCATGGCATCCAGTCCAAGCGTTCTTCACGCCGCCGCAGCACACACACTGTCCTGCGCACATCCCATCAGCCTTCCCTCCGAACAGGCTCCCCATGCATGTTCCAAATTCCGCTCCCACGAACCACTCCAACTCCCCCCTCACTGCTTCGTCCACACCCCCAGCTCCAAGCACACCGCTAGCTGCCGCCTCTGCTTGTGCGTCCACTGCCTGCACCAGGTCCATCGCACCAATCGACCCAATCGCGTCGATCGCGTCCATAACGTTCACAACGTCTGCTTGGTCAATCGCGTCTGCGGCGTCCGCCAGAGCGCGCTCTCTGCACGCCACCACCTCCCACAGGCCCCTCGCTGCCTTGGACACCGGCGGAATTGCCTCCGCCACTCCAAGCTCGCGCGCGCGCTTCGTCCCTGCGCTTTGCTGCGATTCACCCACAGACTTTGCGCCCGCCACTGCCGCCATTGTCGCGAGGTCTCGCCCAGCGGCGGCGCCGCCTTCAAAACGCCCCATATCTGGGCCTTGTCGTCCCTCCTCAACCACTTCCGCTTCTATTTTCCCCGCGTCGTCCGCAACGCCTCTCGCTTCCTCCCAGCCACCTACTAGAGGCGTTTCCAGCGATTGCTTAAACACTGCGAAGGGTCCACGCGGGCAGGCCATCTCGACTGACTTTACCGCCACTCCTTCGTCGCTCCCTGCCGGTTTCTCGCTACGCTGCTGCTGCTCCTCCTGCTGCAGGCGCTTCTGCTGCTGTTGCTCCGCAGCCCGCCTCCGCATCATCACCCGCGCGACGGCCGCCTTCGCGCCGCGGGACATGGGCCGGTGCGGCACGGAAGGGCCTCCCGCTAGCCCCGGGAGCGCGCGGATTGTCTCGAGAATGGCCAGCGGGGTTACCTCCTGCACGTGCTCCGCGCCAATGCCGCAGCTCGCTGCCGGCGGCAGCGCGCACAGACCAAGATCCCCGGCGGTGGCGCCGCTGAATCCGCGAAAAGGCCCCTCCACAGCCGCGGAGACATGAGCGGGGAAGAGGTGATCCACCGGGCCGCAGTCCACGCCGTGGAGGACGCTGCCGCCGCAGCCGCCGCCGTCGCCGCCGAAAAAGGACGACTCTAGCGGTTGCGACCGAAATTCAACTCGCGATTCAAGGTTCTCCCTCCACTCTTGTGCGAAGAACGTGGCGTGTTGACTGTAGTCAACGACGGAAAGCTGACTGTAGTCCACGCTGGCATTGTTGGCCGCAGTAGGTGCAGTGCCAGCGTTGGCAGCATTGGCAGCGGTGGCAGAGGTGGTGCGCGCAGGTACAGTCAGATCACAGGGATCATCGCTCTCCGCCACCTCCTCATGAAGGCATGGCGGGAGGAGACGAGGCTGCTGCTGCTGCTGCTTTGAGGGCTCTGCGTGCCAGACGTGCGGACCGAGAGAAGGGGCGCATAGGGAAGACGACGCCATGGCGTTGGAAGAGGAAGAGACGCCGCGACGACCGCTGCGCTTCGGCATGTGGTGTGTGGTAAATTCAGGAGGTGGATAATCCACCGCGAGGCGATACGTGTCCGCGAGGCAAATGCTCTCCATGTGGAATCGTGGAGTTTGATTGTGCAGCGAGATTAGTGAGCGAAAGACTATTGTAGAACTGATGAGCTTGGGCGAGCTTGGTGCTGCTAAGGGCGGATATTCGTAGCACTTGAAGGAAGCAGAGTGAAAGACAGAAAGTTATTGGGCAAACAAAGCTCAGTGGCTCGTATGTATAACTCGGCAGTTAGGTAGAGCAAGAGGGGGCACTGCAGTGCTTTGTTGACGAGCAACCCGGCGGTACCGCGGACGCGAGGAGGGCTTGAATCCAGTCCAACACGACATTGCACAATCCCCTCTGTGACAGCCAGGGGCGGTAATAATGCAAGAGATGAAAGTGCGAGAAATACGCGCGCGAAAGGGGATGGTTGGTGGACAAGATGGATAGAGAAGCGGTAGAAGCGGAATCAGTAGAAGCGGATGGAGAAGCACAAGACACATATAATAGAGCTAGCAGCGACTGACAAGCTTGGGCCATGGTTTGCTGGTGTAGGGATGGTGCGAACATGTTGTGGAGGAGTTGGTGGAGTAAACCATGGCTGGACCTTCGGGGTGGTGGTTGGTGAATGGAGGGTGTCGCTCTAGTGGTGGTTGCAGTGCGGTCCGACTCGACGAGTTGCGACTTGCGAGCGAATTCTGGGCGTAGATGCGACTTGGGAGGGAAATGGGACAGAGGGAGGAGGCGGGAAGGCCAATAAGTTTCCTGACTTCCTGGGCTGCATTTGGCGCGGAGGCTGTCACGACGAAGTTGGTACAGAATTGTGTCAGGTGGTGAGTGGTTGGGTGACGTGTTGCGGTTGCTGAATGACCCGGATTCGTTGACTGGCCTGCCCAGTTCTGTGTGGTTGAAATGAAACTCAGCTCTGTGGCCAGGAGTCTGCCATGAATGGCGACTCGGGAAGACAACAACGACATCCTGCGGATTGTAGGTGTGAGGAAGTCACGGCGTGCAACATCCTGGAATTTCACCAGAAAGTCTGGACTTCATGAGCGGTTTAGAACGGCTCTTTTATGTACTGCTATGTTCCTGTCAGCTTCAGTACGTTGCAGAGTGTTGATGGTCCGGATTTTTTTCGACTTCCCCAGGATGTTCGAAGGATTAGCACCATTGTTGTTGTGCTCCCTGAAAGTTTTCATCGCCGTGCATTGCGGTGAAGACGTATGCATTCGCGAGAGCTGCGAGGATCTTGTAACATTTTCTGTCATGTGTTATTTAAACAAGGTGAATCAAAAGACTAGAACGGGCCCACAATAGGGTAGGGGGTTATAAGTCCAAGAACCAAAAGTGTCGCTAGTACAGGGTAACACGTGCGTCTCTTTCGTAGCAATTCCGTCCAAGATGGCGCCTCGTGAACTGAAGGTGGTCGTTATTCAAAATGCTCATTATTGGTGGTTGGTGAGAACTTTGTGAGGAACGACAGGTAACTGCATCAGCAAGAAACTGCTGGTGGGAGACCTACCTCGAACCCTAGACATTTCGAGACTTCGTTCTAGAGTCTTGCTCTGTTTTCTGTGACTAAACCCAAGAGTTTGCGGGTGGTAGTACAGCAGTGTAGTCCGACGGGAATGGAAAAAATGCTTCTACAATGGGGTGTTCGACTCGACACGACCCAACAGGGGCAGCAGGGGTAACAAAGAAAGTCAACCGATTCACATGCAACACAATTATCGTATCGCCTGGTAGTTTCCAGATCCTGCTCTGAGGTATATGCCACGCTGGGGTCTTGTTCCGGGAATGATGCCCTTGATGTTGGCAGCATCACCGTCCTCGAGATAATCACCAAGAAAATTAATAGAGACGCACAAACAAACTATCAATCTAGCATACACATGCACGTATTAGGGAGAGAGAGAGAGGATCTACAAATATTGAGGCAACAAATATGTGAGCTAAGGATATGCGGACGTTAGCTACCAGAAATATGGTGACGGTACTGCATATGGGGTGGCTGCGGCTAGGTTTGGAAATAACCGAGACGTAGAATATATCGCAGGTTACCAGTCTAGGTATGTGGCTCGGGCACGATGGCACAATGGTAACGGATGGGCACCTCTGAGATGAGAAAGCATGTCGAGTAATTAGCATCACTGATACGGTACCACATAGGACATAACCCTTTAAGAAAATACACATGGTCTTGTCTAACCTATCTACGACCAACGTTGGCAAGGGAACCAAGTTTATCTCCCACCCTATTCCCCGCTACACCTCTAACTACTTTAAGCGTGACTATTATGCAGAAAAGCTCCGTGCTGTTACGATCAGTGGCCATGAGGCACGCATAGTAAGGCCCCTGAAGACAACACCCATGGGATCAACCAGACAGGAGGGCGATGCAAGGGCGGAGACAGATAACAGAGAAGGGTTGGATGGTGAATACGCGATTGGGATAGAGAACAAGACAGGGAGGCAGCCGAGTACAGGGAACTATAAAGGGGGTGTGCTCACAGGGAATGCAAGGCTGGGGACATTCCGCCAGTATTGGAAGGTGAAGCTCCCAGGGAGCACAGGACACGCTGTCTGCTGGCAAATGTCCGTGTACTCAACATGTACGGGCAGCCCGTGAAACTTTATCGTCACTGCCACCTCCCCCCCTGCTATCATCTGCCCTGGTCATGCGGAGAGGGTTGGGATGGAAAGATGGATAGAGTTAGGGAGGACGGGAAGGAGAGAGTGAGGGAGGGAGCACCAAGCAGCATTAGCTGCAGCACCTGTGGCGCCAACACGCTTGTTGAATGGTGGATGTGGTAAAATTTTGTAAACCCAGAGCACCGACAAAACCGCAAGTGAAAGAGAAACACATGCACACAGGAAAGACCGAGTGGAGCTAACCGGTGGTGCACTGTTCATGGCACTGTTCAGTGCAAAGGTTGCAAGGGGCGCTGCTCACTGGCGACGGCAGGCAACTGCAGCTCGAATGGGTGGCCGATGACCGGAGGGTCCGGCGCCATGAACACGTCCCGCACCTCCACTGCTGGCTCGTGTGCTGCCATGGGTGCACGGCGGCACCAAGCAAGCATGAGTAAACGGGTGATGGAGAGATGAAAGGAGAATGACACACAGCAGGTTTGTCGCATTGGTTAGCTGACAAAGCAATGGCAGGATGATCAAAGTGTATACAACGGTAGTTGGGGGTCTTGACTGGCTGGATCAGTAAGCCTGGCCAGTGATGTGGTAATCAGGTAACTGAAGTTACGAGGAGAAAGGGGGGAGCCGTGTGTGAAATCATGGGTGAGGAGGGATGGGAAAGGAGTTGTGCGAGAAAGAAATCAGAGACCATCTATACGAGGAAAGAGAAATGCCATGGGGTGCTATGGAATCCTTGGGAAGCCATGGGAGGCCATGGGAGGCCATGGGAGGACATGGGAGGACATGGGAGGACATGGGAGGACATGGGAGGACATGGGAGGACATGGGAGGACATGGGAGGCCATGGGAGGCCATGGGAGGCCATGGGTGGTGCGACGTACAGCAGTCCTCCCATTCCGTCCGACGTGGACTCCTGATTGACTCTGCGCCCCGCACCATCTCCCCGCTACTAGCAGTGCCGCGGCCAGCTGCGTCCCTGACAGTCCGCACCAAAGGTCTCTCTAAACCGAAGCCTGGATCCACGTCGCCTGTCGGCGCCGACATAGTCGTTGTTTCCCCGACTCGGGCGTCCTTCACGATAGTCGCAGCAGCACTCGCGGCGCACGGACCGCGCGACGACATAAGCTGCTGTAGCAGCATCGCTGCGAGGAGGAGAATAACCGGCGACGATGGAGCGGCACTCGATGCGGTCAATCGTACGGTGGGGGATGGCCGAGAAAGTGATCGGCGCTTTGCTAGGGAGTGATCCTGATCGCATGGATGTCTTGCGGGAGGGGAGACTGGGTACGGAAGGGACCACGACATGACCGGCGGTTGAAGGCGGTGAGGAAGAGACGATTAAGCGGATAGAGGAGAACGGAGGCGGTGTTGGGAATGGAGAATCGCGCTGCGCTTTTCAAACCGTTGCAGCGGAAACTAGTAGTTTATGAAACAGGGGCGAGAACACTCGCAGGAGCGTTGAGTGACGATGGACAAGGATGCACTGCCAGACGGCTGCCTCGGTCGCGCTTTAAGTAGCGGCAACAGGCACATAGACAAAGTAGCCGAGAAGTTGTTTCCAAAGGAACTACGCCTGAACCAGCCAGGAGGTTGTCCTGAGAGAGTCGCAGGCAGGGAGCGAGGGATTTTATAGGCCGAAGTCGATTATCAAGCAAGGGACCACGATAAAAGGGCGAATTGAGCTTCCAAGCGAATTGGTTGTGCAGATAGAAAGAAAGCAAGGCGAGGCGTGGGATTCAAGGAGAGAGGGAGGAGACGGGAGTGACGCATGCCTGCCCGCGCACACATTTGCGTGACGTCAGGCTGACGCGTTTCGTGCCACTGAAGCAGGGGGTTGATCTGTGAACGAGGCAAATGTGCGTGGCGTGCTGTGATTTGCCAATAAAGAAGGTCTACGCATGACGTGACAGTCCATCACGGTATTAGGTGCTCTTGTAGAGAGTTCCAGTGAGTAGGCCTATATCTGCACCATATGCTTGGTAAACATGTACTTTCGGGTATGGAGCAGATAACATGAAAGATAGCATTGTTGACATGGCTTGCATGTAAATATTAATTGTTCCCTACTGAAAACGTGCTGTACAGTCTTCAAAGAAGGAAGAAAGCCATATGTCGCATGGGAGAAGCACTCCATCCCGTACAATCGGTGCATAATCCGCTAATGCTTGTCTTGATTGAGACAAGGGTTGCAAGGAACGAGGCAAAATGTGGAACGTTGGGGAAGAGGTCCCACAGTGCAAAAAAAGGTGAAGGCAAGAGCATCATCTAGCTAGCGTGCGAGTTGCAACAAGCCAGCCAATGTACACTAGCGTGACGTGGCTGCGATGCTGCTGTCACGTTGCAGCATGGTCGAATCTCTTCAAGACGGCTTCGCTCATCTCATGCGCCTTCTTGGAGATGCACGCGCCGCCATCCTTGAGCGCCTTCGACGGACCCTCCATGACATTCTGCACAGAGTGTCAGGATCGCGGGAAACAGGTGGTTGGCGAGAGAAAGGTTATTAGTCGCGTAAGGAGAGGGAGCGAGATAAGGGAAAACGGCACAGAAAAAAAGGAAGCGGAGGGGGACAGCAATTGAAAAGAGAGCGGGGAGTCTGATATTATTACTAACCGAAATTGAGGAGACAGCAGCTTCCCAGGCGTCTTCAATCATAGGGTCTACATCGACGTGAAATCCTGCTCTGTGGTGCGTCTGTCGCATCGGGCAATTCTCCGAGTGGGCCGACCCAACGCAGTCTGAGGTGGTATGGCAGGTCGTTCCAGGACCTCTCAAGAATGGCGACTTCGCGGCGGCTGCTACAACGTGCGGAACAGTCTTCGGCGTGAGGGGATGTAGCGGAGTGAGCGTCATGGGGCAAGTTGGTAACGAAGCGCTAAATCCTGTTAGAACAGAGAAGCAGATACGAAGGCTATCTCCGACTTCACTAAATAAAGAGCAGTCACGGCTTGCAGCGCGTTGCCTCTGCTTGTAGTCGTCGTGCTAAGAGATGAAGGCATACGGGAAGTGGGAATGGGATTGTAGGAAGAGAGCATGCAGGAGCTTCACATTTCTCCTCCCCTCCCCCCCAACATCTCCTCCCCACCTCTCGCAGCGGGTCGCAGGAGGAAGAAAACCACCTGAGACGACACGCGACGATGAAGATGAAATTGTTGCGACGACTCTTGGCGGCGGCATGGATGACCGAACCGTCAGGTATGGTTTGCTGCGTGAGGTGGGAGCTCCCAAACCAAACCACATTTGGTTGGGCAAGCATGGGTCCAGACGAGTCACGCGTCACCAGACTCGGATCAAGCGAGATTCGTGGAGCAGAGAGATGGATGGGGACGGCTGTTGTGCTGTGTATGGTCAGGAGCAGAGACGGAGCGCGCTGACTCTAAAAGTTCACAATAATGACGTGGCGTCATAGCCAAAAGGTCAATTTGGTGCTGCCCCGGCAGGCTGTCTAGATGGTCGGGCAGGTGGAATAGGTAAGACAGCGAATCCAAAGTCAGAATTTCGGTGTTCAACATGTGCTGGAACGGGATTTGCGGAAGCTTTTCAGTGCTGGCATAACACGCCTGTGATGTATCGCCACGCTGTGCAATGAAACCTCCACATCTCCCACGCGCCAACCACGCATCCAAGCCGAAAGTGTCCTCTTGGTGTTCAAATATCCAAAACAAGTTGAAAAGAGTATCATGTGTAACTCGATTGAAACATGAATATCCTTTACAGTAATTGCTTGTGGAAAAGAACAAATGCACTATTTAATTAGTCGGAACTATCTGGTTGGGTTCTGCACCTAGATGTATTGTTGACATTCAATCATTCCTAGCATGGTGCTATTCCATGTAACAGGTCAATAAGAACATGCTACCACCACACGCCGGGAGACTTTTGGGGGAGCCATCCTTTCGCTCTGCTCTTGGCGAAGCTCCAGTGCTCGTAACCTGCTCAGTGAACATGGCAAAGGAAAGGACTCGGATTAACTACACAATGCAGTGGCAAGAAAGAAGATTAAAGCAATCACGCTCTCCATGCCCCTCAACTTTCCTCCCTTCCTCTCATCCCTCTATCCCCTCTAACTTCCCCTCACGTCCCTTGCCTTCTCCTGATCGTACCGAGAGAGATGTTATGTTTGAGCGACCAGAAGAACCAGCCGGCCTGAGCGGTGGCAAAGGCCTGCAGCTGCGCTTTGCCGAAGGCCGCCTGGTAGCTGTCGTCTGGGTGCGCCATGGCATTGGAGAACTCTCCCACCAGCACTGGCCGCCCAAACTGCACGGGGGAACGGGGGGTGGGGGGGTGGCCACCAGCACACACGCACGTAAGGATTCAGGCCAGGTGAGGCTTGTACAGAAAGAAACCCACAAGTCGCAATATAGGCCGGCACCGTATTGGTCGGCACAAAACAGATGAGCAACACAACAGAGATCAACACCATGGCCATGGCTGACCACAGCTGCGCGCTTACCTGCTGGTAATCCTTGAGCTTGGCGGGCATCGTAGTGCGCGTGTACTCCACCTCCTGCGCGGCCGTCATCTTCTTATTATTCACCAGCTCCGGGTTAAACACATTGTACAGGTGCGACTCCAGGATCACGTTCGTGTGGATATTATCATACAGGTGCCAGTGCACCTCCCAGATGTTGCTCCCAATGCGCCCCTCCATGGACATGAACGCGCACTTCGCGCCCTTCCTCAGCGCGGTATACCCCGCGCTGTAGTACTTCTTCAGCAGCGGCAGCGACACGCCTGATTGGACTCCATAGGCCCACGGCGCCGCCGGCTCGTTGACCAGGCCAATCCCCAGGAATTCGGTCTTGCCGCCGTACCGCTTCCCCAGCCACTCGACCAGCTGGAGAGACTTCTGGTAGTTGGCTGCGAGTGGCCAGAGCGTGAGCGAATCCCGGGACCCGTACGTGCCGCTCTGCGTCCCTGGGAGAACGTGCAGGGACAGCCAGATGCGGATGCCGTACTTCTTCCCCATGGTGAACGCCCAGTCGAGGCGCTCCCGTGTGCCTGCCGCCCAGGGGTACTCAGGGCGGGGGTCCTGCATGACCCAGTAGGGGATGGGGATGCGCGCGGCGTTGAGCCCCTGGCGCTTCATGTACTGGAAGTCGGCCTCTGTGAGGAAGGCCGTGCGGAAGGATGACATGTACGGGGTCACTCGGCTCGGGCCCAGGGCGGCTGAGAGCTGCCACTCGTCGTCGCGCGTGCCCGTCTGGATTGGGGGGGGAGGGGGAGAGGGGGGAGGGATGGAGAGGGTGAGTGAGTGAGGGCGTGATAGATGGGTGTGTTTATGGGTGTTGGAGTGAGGGGGGAGGGAGGGAACGGGAGAAAGGGCGGGTGATTGCGAGGGGGAAGAGAACCAGTGAGAGTGCTCAGGGGTACAAAATGGATTGTGTCCTTTCCAGGACACCGGTGAGCCATATACTAAAAGAACTCTTTGAGA